TTTATCACAATTATTCATGACTATCACTTGAAATCCCAATAAAAGATACTTGCGGCTGTAAGGTGACAAAATAAATTCAAGGTTCTTTAACAGAAAAACTTTCAAGCTAATGGGCCTTGTAAGATGTGAACATTGAAGAGAATCGGTTCCAAAAACACAAGTTTATAAAAACTTAAAAGTTTCCCTTCTATATTTATGAGGAAGTTAGTGAAAGAGCTTCAAACATCAAAAGGCACAAAAACAATTTGAGCTTTGGCTCACAGAAGACTTTTGTCTTTATTCAGTTCAAATGGTTTTCTCTCATAAATTACAGTTTAGCTCCACGAATGAAATAGATCAGAAACTGTGAGATTCTAACTCCTTTACATGGGAGAATAAAGGCTGGAAAGCAAGGAGATTTTTATTCTGAACATAGAAAAGCAACCTGCTATTCATGTTTAGTTTACAAAAAAGGATGAAGTAGCACAACTAGTCTCTGTGAAGGAAAGGAGCTAAAATTAGGCGGCAGAGTCAGTGCCAGTTGCCAAACAAGCCCATGCCAAGTAACAAAGTAGAACACAGCTTCACCTTCAGCCCACTGACTACACGACCACCTGGGTCGGCAGAACATGAACGCGACCCTGAAGCCTGACTGCTGCCCAATGTGAGAACTCATGGGAGAAATAATCATCAACAGAGGCAAACAAACGCTGCTGCCAGTCCAAATGCAGCCTATAAATAACACAAAATCTTTAGCACCGTGGCAAATGGAGAGTGTCAAGGATCAATAATTTATGCAAGCAAGAAGAAAGTCATCAGGCTTCTACAATGCCAGCAAACAAGACAACGTGCATGGAGCTTGTTTAAAGAAGCGTATCAGCGGAGGATGGTGCAGATTAATCAACGTTTCGGATCCCTGTTGAAAAGGATGGGGGCAATGTTACAAAAGGGAAAATGTTTGTGCTGCTCTTCCCATGTCAGGGTTTTTGTAAAAGTGGGAAAAAAATGCGGCCATGTCATGCTGAATTAGACAGCAGTGCGACTTCAGTGATCAACAGTTCAGCCTGACACAGTGTTTTTCTGTTTCGTTCATTTCTGGGAGGACCCGGATGGCCATCAGATAACTGTCCATGCTCTGGATATTAAGAAATGATAGAATTAATAATTGCTGTGTCACATCTTGACTTACCCAGAAATATATGAGCGTGGACTATGTTTGATTTGGTACAAAAATCGCAACGTTTGTTGCATTTTCAGCTGGTACAGTTTGCTTTCACACTGCACAGAGACCTAGGTTTTTAGACGGACCAGAGTTTGATTTTTTGGTCCACATCAAGCTTGATTACGCATTCACACCTCCCAAAACAAGCCAGACCTTCTAGACAAACAAACTAGAGTTCAGATAAAGCTGGCTTTAATTGAATGCACCCTATGTCGAAAGCAGTCTGACATTTAAAACAGGCTGAATGCTGAAATGCTTGATGTCTCAAACATATGGTTATGGTGTTGTAGAACAATTACCGTCACACCTTTAATTCCAAACCACATTAGTATGGAGAGAGGATTCTGCAACAGCCTTCACTTTTATTTCAGCTTATCCTGAGGAAAATATGTTACTTTGGCAACAATATCATCTTTTTCTGAGAGATTGCAGTTTTGTCAACAGATTTTTTTCTACTTTTTGATTCCCATAAAAGAAATTTGAAGGATTAAAGGGTTACGTTAAAATACAATTCAATGAAACTGAAAAACAGCACAATCTTAAATGTGGTGAGAGAAGCATTTTAAATGGCACTCAAGGCCAATTTTTTCACCAGCGTACTTTTAACAGAAGGTTTGCTAACTCTTTGTAAGACTGGCTGCTAATGATGGTGTTTTTGAATTCAGCTTGCGATTATCCTGAAATTGTCAGAAGTGGTCCCTAATTTTTCTTCTTATGCTCCCCCCCACCCCCTCCAGCTATTTGTATTAACAGCTTATTAAATCGACTTATTCTCTTTTATGATGTTATATTTCTTTATTGAGGCAAGCCTAATTGCTTCTTTTGGGAAATAACAGCTGAACTCTAACCTCAAACCTTGAAAATGTGATGTACTGAAAAGGATCTTGTTAGCTGCAAAGGGAACGTTCAGGAATGTGATGAAAGACATAAAAGAAAAAAAGTAGTGAAAATAGTGTTTTTTTTTGTCTAATATAATTTGAGTCAGTACATTAGAATAAATCATTTGGGAATTGGGAATTAAGCTTAAAAATTTGGATCCTCTCGAGAGTGAAGAGTGTATTCAGTTAAGCACCTTTTCTTAACGTCCCCTAAGAACTGCCCAGAGTGACCACAGACGTCTGTTCTCGGCTGCTGGGAGCTGCTCACTTGTGGAATCCCACCGCCCTGGCAGCTTAATCAAAATAAGGTCGATTTGTAGAGTTCAGGGGTGCAGCGCTGCTGTGGCTCGCAGCCCCCGCCGGTTCAATTTAAAATGAGTCGACAAACTGACCCACTTCTTGCCCAGGGAGCCGGCATTGAAACAGAGCTGATATCGTCCCTCCTTCGCTTGGACTCAACTGTGTTACTGTGTGCACGCCTGTGTCCTCAGCCTCATCCTCATAGAGAGAGCACCATTTATCACAACTCCCAGTCCCCATTGGCACTTCCACTCTGGCTGAAGGATGATGGCTACGCCCCGCAGCTCAGCTGAGCTCAGCCAGGACACACAATATACACAAATCAGCAACACATATGTTCGGCGCATATGGTTAGTGTAAAGTTCCTGCTCAGAACCGGATAGTAGAAGCTGTCTGAACTTGCACTCGATGTCGTGGAAGGATAATCACGGAACAATTAAATATATTACAAAGTTAGAGAGGGATTGATCAGTACTATATTAGCTGCCTGTGGGAAGCCTCTGACATAAACAGATGCTAATGTGACATTTAATCTGATTGGATGCAACTAGGCGTGATTATCATCATCAGTAGTCCCCCCCCTGCTTGCAAGGTTTCCGAGGTGATTCAAGTGTTCTGTGACTGACACAAACAGATCTTTTGTTGTCGTTCATCAGGAATGACATCTCCAACAGATATGCACCCACACACTTCTGTTATTTCCCTCTCTGCTATTGGCTGCTGAGTATTTCAGAAAAACTCTGCTGAATATTTTGACATCCACAATGTTCCCGGGTGCTCATACAGGTGAAGAAAAAAGAAAAAAGAAAAAAAAAAAAAAAAAAAAAAAAAAAAATGTTTGTAAAAAAGCCTGTTCTCAATTTTATCTCCTGCTTACAATGTTGGGAAACCCGGGACAGATAAGTCATTTATCTTGACATTTAGCAAAATTTATAGGTTTGACCTGCTATATTTGAGGACAAACAAGACAGTGTAAGTGTGTGTTAGCTGAGATTTATGATCCTTGTCTACACAACATGGGGAAAGAAAAAAACAACACACAAAAAATTGTAGTCTTGCATAAAGACTGCTCAACGAGCTTCTGGCTCCAAACAGGAATCATTTTATAAGTCTTGGCTAAAGCACATTGTTGAACAAGGAGACCTAGTGGTAGAGGGTTTTTTTTAAAACTCTGTCATAGATGCTATTCGAGCTGAAAACAGAAATACTGCAGCTAATGAAAATACCTTAAAACCTTTCTTAAGATATTTGATCAGTTCCTGCATTATTTCAGGTAGAAACTACAACTACATAGTTACAGTTAGCAATAAAAGGTCCTTGGTTAGGTTTAGATTATAAGCACAGTTATAATGACGGTCAAATAACTTACCTTCAGTTGTTAGAAAAGTGTTACACATATATCAAACATAACTTGATAGAAATTTGACTTTGCAATTTAACAGCTCCTGCTCTTTTCGAACACTCCACCTTCAGCACATTGTCCATGATGTCATCTACGACCATTCTTAGGAGCACTGGACTGAGATGTAGCTCAGCAAGTCTCATATGTATATGTTAAATAAAATACTTTCCCTTAGAAAGTTTTTTCTAAGGGAAAATACAACTCACTTTTAATTTCCAACATAAAAGTGAGTTGTATGATTCAACCAGACCTTAAATACCATGTTCACCTCCAGATGTAACAAGTAATATTAGAAAAGGACTGCAGGAAGTCTGGGGAAATACTGGGTAATAAACGGCCAATGCAGGAGCCTCTGGATATTGTGGGTGACCTTCAAGCCTTCGGGTGCATCTTCATGAGAAACTGTCTTGCTTCTGTGATCAATACAGCCACATAGGCTCTGGAGTACCTTGAGCTCACGTGACTTAAGGTCAGCCAAGTTTGTTGGTGCCTCCAAAGCTCCACCCTGAATGTGTATTACAAAGAACCAATATAGAGAAGCTCCGGCTCTAATACACCAAGTCAAATCAGTTGAACAATGAAACAATGGACATGTGGTTAAAGGACTCGCCATTTTAGTTTGTGGAAAACAAGCATTTGTTTCAAGGTGCTACCGCAACCAAGATCATATAAATCATACACATATCATTATGAGTGTGGCATTTGATTACAGATTCATCTGGTAACTCTTTTCCCAGTAGGTCTGTGGTTATTTCAAGAAGACATGGCCAGACATTTTGCTGTCTCACCAACTTTTGCGTCCAGGTATTTATATATAAGTGTATAGTACACCATAAAGGAGGACAATATCGCTTTAAAAAATTACTATGTTCTAAACTGAAAAAAAAATTGTAAATAATAAAACTAACTGGAAGTGTGGTTGTTTGTTTTTTTTGTTTTTTTGCACAACACTCATATTTTTATTTGTGAAAAAGAAAACCACAAGTAATTTTCCTTCCACTTCACAATCATACACTACTTGGTGTGTTTCTACCAAATAAAATTCCACTGAAATATAGAAAGATTTCTTGTTTTAACTTAATGAGTTTGAATACTCTTAAGGTACTGAATTTCTATTTTTAAAAATGTGCAAAAAGTTGGCATTCCAGATAGATGCTGTATATCATGTGACTCCATAGCACGCAACATCTGGATTGTAATGATTAAGAAGGTTTCTTACCCCGGGGCCTCGAGGGGATTCAGGAGGAGAGGTGGGAGTGATCTGTTTTCGACCTGAAAAACAAGCAAATTAATTAAAAATAATAATAATAAAATCAAATTTGCCAACTTCAATCCTAGAAAAGTGATGCTTTTCACATTGCATTCCTGCAGAGGTCTACATTTACAAGTCACCTGACAACACACCAGCTTCTTCAGTTCAGAGTTTAACAGGTTGAAATATTGGCGCTGTAATATCTTCTGCATGCTCTGAGTACATCGAAGGGGATTATTTTATAGTTTGGTTAAAGATTTAATGGAATATGAGCTAGTGAGAGGGAATCGAGGTTAACTGTAAAATGTCATCTTATATAAACTGCTTCTCTACTGATTGGATTTGAAGCAATCTGGCATCCAGAGGTATATGAATAAACCGTAACATTATGTACCGAATAACCCGGGCAAAGTAAATAACTCCACAGAACACTGGAATCCCTCACTATTTTCAAACATGACAAATCTATCCAATTTCACACAGATCAAGAGCCAGAGTCAGATTTAGACAGCTCGCCGAGTTTAAAGAGTAACAATGCTTCCTTGAGATTTTTTTTTTTTGGTAGGTAGCCATGGCAATGGTGAAATGAAAGGCGTTCCAGCATCTCCTTGTCCTCCTCTCCAACTCTGCCTCACTCTTTATGCTGGGCTTCACTGGCCTTTTGGAAATTGCTTCAGTTGCCTGCGGTGTCTTGCTGTAGCTCCCATCTGTTCAGACTGCATGCATACAGAGTGGACATGTTATGAGACTGGCTGGCTTTCTCTCACAAATTCGCTATGGCATCAACCCCCCCCGGCAACCATTTTCTTTTTAGGGTCTTGCTGTTTTCTCACTGTTATGCTTTTGGAGCCCGTGGAGAATTTGATTCACCTTGTTAGTAGGACTGATGTGCAATTGGCCGTTTGTTTGGGATCAATGAGTGGCTATCGTGACAGCTGAACAAACAGCTCTCCACCCAGAGTTGGACAGTTGTTTGCTTTACGAGAGGTGGGCTGCATAAGAGTAAAACACTAAGGGGGACATACAAGGAACGCATTTAAACACAAACCCCTCGAATCTATCCACATTCTGTCATATCATAATCACAAATTTAAATTTATTCATCTGGACTTTAGGTGACAGACACAAAGATGTCTGTCACATATATCCTGTCCTTCTTGAACTGGAAGGAAAGGATACATGATTTTCAACTTTTTTTTCTTTTTCACACAGAAATATTAACTTGTAGAGAACTTTTGTGGAAAGAGAGCGGCATAACTGCACAGACTACGCATTCATTTAAAAAAAGCTGCTAAGATGCCGATAGGAATTTTGAGGGAGTTAGCGCTCAAGTGAAAAAAATCTGTCAAATGGACAGTGCGACTTATTCACTCCCCATATCTGGAGGGAACTTTTGGCCTAAAACAAACACAACCCATAAGTACATCACACCTTTCACCTAATCTGACAGAACGGGCAAAGGCAGCAACATTTTGAGAATTGACAAAGTGGAAACACTTTAAACCTCCTTTATGACTTTGAATCCCTCTGATCTGGAGGAGCTGCAGGAATCCACAGCTCAGGCACGGGAAATTTCTTAATAGGACAAGTAAGACCTACATGGAAAAACTATGTAAAGGAGGAAGATAATTCAGTACACTACCCTCAACAAAAAATCTACACAGTGAAACATTGTGGAGGCAGTATCAATCTTTGGGGAAGATTTTCTTCAGCAAGTGACAAGAGAATGAAAGGCTTTCAAACATCCATCTGCGTATAAGCTATATACTGTTTTTTACTTATTGATAAAATTCCTGAAATAAATGGGCTTTTCAATAATAGCATTGAATGGACCTGTACGTGTTAAAACATCAGAAACAAATTCATGTAACTGTCCAGACAAGAAAATAGAATTATTCAAATCTATAAAATCACAATTTCAAGACCAAAAAGGAAGTAAACAGATTATAAGTCCAAACTGAATGTAACACGTCCTCTATAGTCACCGAGGAGATGTGGGAGATGTCTTATTGTACGTAAAGATGACGGTGTAGCAAAAAAAGGAATGAATAAATCCATCAGAGATCACCAACATCAATCAGATGTTGAAATCAAAAGAAAAATTCATAATATCACTCTTCTTTGAAAACAAGCCCCAGTCTTCAGTCTCCTTTTGTGACTCTGTAAAAGCACTTGAACGCTGATTAAGATGTCATCAATAGATGCAGCCAAAAGCCTTGTGACTCAAGCCCTGATCAGCACTATTCTTCTCTCCTGAGATAAGTAAACAGTCTCATTAGGAGGGAAATAATCAATTACCCAACCAGGGTTCACTCGAGTTCCTAATGCATCGCTGGGATTGAGTGGCTGCGTTACCACACTTTTAAATCAATTCACCGTCAGAATCACAACAAATCAGCAGTATAGCCTTCGATAGGACACGCAGACAGTGGCACATCATTTATTCGCGGGTATGAGTGGCCACAGAATATTTAATCAGAACTCGTATTTAGCGGGAGACTTCTTTAAAGCTCAGGATTCAAAACTTAATTTAGCAAAGATATTGTGGAACTGACGTGCTTAATTCGTCGGGGTAGAATGGCGGCGCTCTGCAGGGCAGGAGAAATTCAGAAGCATCTTTTTTTCTACCTTGCGCTGACTGCGGTTCATTCAGATCTGAATTGTGTAAAAAAAATTAAACAAACAAATGTGTCGCATCGTCAAAATAAAATATTAGAGTA